TTTATTTTTTTAAATCACATGTTGTCATGAAGTTTAAGATGGAGCTGACAGAAAGCAAAAGTCATTGTTTTTATACTGATAATGATAAAATAATAAAAATTAAAGCTGTGTTTGTTTAAATAATCGTACTAAATGTCAAACATGAGACGTCCACTGTGGATGAAAGCACACTAACCACATATGATTCACTAATTATGTCATAACAGCTTTTTGAACTCATACACTGCAGCAAATGCCATCCAGATGTTCTCATCCTGAGGGGACCAACAAGCTTCAAACCCCTGACCTCTGAGGGAGTCCCAAATCATCATCGTCACCATCGTCCTGTACTGAGAGTTAAATTCTCAGCTCTGTGGTCCATCAAACAATCAAGTAAGAAGGGGCATTGACACGCGTTCCCTTTACTTGAGAACATTTCAGTGCTGGAGGTGTGGTCCACCTGGACGGGGACGCAAGGTCACAGCCAAACTCGGCAAGTTCTCATCGAGCTGTGTGGCCATCACAGTTCTCCTGGGAAAGGAAGAAAAAGAGCTGAGCGGAGAACCTCTTTACATGAGATCAGAGTGTGTGTGTGTGTGTGTGTGTGTGTGTGTGTGTGTGTGTGTGGAGGGGGGGTACAGAAGTAAACCAGCTGAGTCTCATGATCATTTTCTATGGAAAAATGTTGTTAGATGTAATAAAGTAATAATAGCTAAGCAGCAGCTCAGTTTTTTTAGTCAGCCTTCATCATCATCACCCTCTTAGTGGCCTAGTGGTAGAATGTCCACCCTGGGAGATCGGGGTTCAAATCCCAGTATGGATCATACCAAAGACTTTACAGAGACAATGTGTAGTTTTTACCATTCATTTTTGGAAACATCCTTCAAACTGTTGTTGAAAATGAATTAAATGGCCCCCAGTTGTTGAAAAATGTTGGCAGCTTTGTAACATATAACCATAAAAATAAGGTCTAAAACACACGGGACCGGGTCTAAGTCTCTGCAACGCCATATTAGATGCCATGTTTCCTCCCATGGGAGCCTGTGAGGACAAAAGCATTAATGGTTGCAAAACTTTTGCCATTCTTAACTCATTCACTGCCAATGACAACTAACGTCGTCATTTGCATTTTTTTTTTTACTGTGTGGGCATTGGGACGAGCCTCCGCTCCGTGAGAACAAACATCTCAACTCTAAAGCCAATCTTCATCCGCATATGTCACACGTCACGTGATCAGGAAGCAGAAAATCCATGTGTTAGGAGATTGTTTTGGGCCGCTGCTGTAAAAAAAAGTGAGGAGCAAACCGAAAAAGCTTCTACCGATCACAATTCGACAACGAATTATGAAAGAACGCATAGCCCTCGAAACACGCAGATTCTTCCGGATGTAAGAGGTGAGTCTCTGCTTTGTTTTGGTTGTTTTGGTTGTTTTGACGTCTACATCATTCTAATGCACAACATTCTGCGACTCTTTAAAAAATAGTAAAAACGGTGAGAAACGCTGGCAGCGAATGAGTTAAATGTTGTTTTACACATTTGCCTTCACTTGTTGGCAGTGATGAAAGGGAGACTGATGTACTTGTTATTTTGCTGAAGTTTGCACTCCCCAGGGCTTTTTGACTCTAATGGGCATCCACTGGTAAGGTCTTACTCCAACACAAAAATACTGCTTGCGTGTAACAATTTAGGTATCTACTGCCCCCTATCACTAGGAAAAATACACACTGTCACTTTAAAAATGGGACCCAATGCCTCCCTGCTGGACACTTAGCTTTAAGGGGTTGGATTGGGGGGGTTAAACCACCAAACAGTTCTTGAGCGTAGCGTGTCTGCAGCTCACCGCTCCCCATGGGGATGGGTCAAATGCAGAGATTCACCATTGTGTGTGATGATGATTATGGGACTTTCAATTTATCAGCCAAACATGAAAGACGGGTAAAATGTGGTGGTCACACGACTGTAGAATCACGATTTTAAGATCCTTAAACATCTCTCAGAACACACACATACCCAGGCCTCTTCCCATCGCTTTAGCAGCTGCTCGTGCTCGTTGAGCGCGCCTCTCCATTGGTTCAAATCCCTGGATGGAATGTTCTCATCTGTTAAATAAGAACACTTTTCATGGATACACACCGTGTCAGTTTAAAAAAAAACTCTAAAGCAAAAGCATTCCTCCCAATTAAACCAGTTCTGGCTGCGTCACAGCTAGAGATGTCCATTATTATTGGCCTACATCGGAAATTATCGGTTTCTACTCTTAACGACACAACCTTCACACACCATGCACATATTATACATCTAACTCTTCAGCTCCTTCTCTTCTCACTCAGAATGTCAACATATGACTGATCTGAGGTTTTGGTTTGGAGATATTCATGTTAGGCACAACTGACCTAACTTACATTTTTATATAGTTACATATTTTGCACAAAATTCATAGGAGATTGTGTTAGTTACCTTGTTATTGGTTTATATCAATATCAAACATCCCTAACAACTAAATAACCTCCTTTGTTGATCTTTTGCACACTCGTGAGAGGTCAGACCCAAATACCTCCGACAGGGAGATGGAGGTCGATCTCAGACATGTCATTTCCTGTGCTGGCCTCTGCAACACAGTGGTAACGGGCATCCCCGATCAGCGGGCCCCCTCGGAGCCAGCTGGTCACCAGCACCTCCCTCTGACCCAGCGCTCTGCGGTGCTCCATTACTGGGGTGTCCAGAATGTGTCCGTTCATCAGCCAGTGAATGTGGACATCACTAGGACCTGCGGGACAAAATTGGCCCTCCTGATTGTCAAAATGCTGACATGGAGACGAGTTTGTGTTCATTAGATAAGCTTGTTTCCGTGAGAAGTCTTATTTATCTGGGTGGCGTTTGCTTTCAGAATCTAAAGATAATCAAAGGATCAGCTTATTGTCTTCATTCCATCCATGCATGTTCTTGTTCACAAACACACAAATGCATGCAAACGCCCAGCTACTGGAGCCAAAGTAGAGACTAATTCACCTAATATGCATGTTTCTGATCAGAGAGGAAACTAGAGTGCCTGAAGGAACCTCGCACACAAGCGCATGCAAGCTCCAAGTCAACAGACTCCAACCAGGAATTTTACCTGGAACGTTTAATTCTTCCTTCCACTAGAGGTGGTTTTCAATCCTGGTCCTGGAGGGCCAATTTTAATTTTAACCCCGTTTCAGCATACCGGATTCCAATCAGTAGGTAATTCAAAGGTTTTTGCAGAGCTTGATGAGCTTCTGCACAGGTGATTCAACCACTGAATCAGGCGTGTTGGAGCAGGGAAACCACTAAAACTGGAAACCGACCCTCCAGGATCACGACCGAACCACTGCACTAGAAGCCTGTGGACATGTCCTGTCCTTCCCTCCATCATTCCCATTTTCTCCCATTTGCTCAAGTTTGCAGAAGTCGTCTGATCCTTCGCCTAATTTTTCTCTCTCCGCTTCAACAGTTCATAATTTAAAAATAAGCAAACTGGAGGGATTCATGGCTGCAACTTGTTGGGATGACATTTGATACTAAACACTTGTAAAACTTTGAAATCTGTCTGAAATAGGGTTTGGGAAAACAAGTGCCTAAAAGGTGCAATATGTAAGAATGACTTCCTGTGGACACAGCAGTCCATTTTCTAAACTCATTGATCATTTTCTCACTACCGTTCCGTGAGTTTTATGCTGTTGAAAAGTTACGGCTCAGCACCAGAAGAGTCTAGATAACGAGCAAAGACGAGCCTAACACAATAAGTTAAGTAGATAAACACTTTTTTTTTTACTTTTTATTTATACACTTTTACATCAGAAACACATTCCCCATCGTACTCAGCATTCATAAAATTTTTCGTGTTAAGTTCTTCCTGAGTTCTTTAGTCTTCATAATGAGTTTTCATTTTCCCTTGGTGGTTTTTTAGTGGTCTTCCTTCGATTGTATTCTTCGGAAAAACAATTTTCAATGTAATATTGTTTCAGTTAGTAACTGAAAATGTAGCTCGAGATACTTTTAGGGCTAAATATTTGTTTCTAATTCAACGTTAGCATAGTCAGCTCGACGTTAGCCTTCATCACCAGATATTACAGTAAAACAAAATAAGCCGTGGCTTCTTAGGGGTATAAGAAATAACTTCTGGGTTACTCGATCTTTGCAAAACGCTGCTGCGTTTTCCCGACTTGTGTAAAATTACAAACGCTGGCACTGCTAGCAGTCTAGGGTTCAAATTTAGATTTCACATTTTCTGATTCTTAAAAGTTACAATAACCACATTTTAGATTCTGTTGCACATAAAATCATTTAATGAAAAAAATGTGTAAAAATAAATAAAAAGCAACCAGTTTTAAAAACATTAGAAAAACTTTATTACACCTCCAGTTTATACAAATATTTACAAACATGTGCAAGCATAAAAAATCCAGACCAACTGCTTTACCAACTGGATAAATGATCAGTTTGTTCTGAAGAAAATAAAAGTAAAAAAAAAAATCATAATTTATCTCTAAATTTTGCGAGTTTTTACACAACGTACAGGAAAAGATTTTAATACCTTTGACTTAAATAATTCCATCTTAGTGGAGTTTAGTTCTTCACAGACAAACTAAAAAAAAAAGTTGGTTGTTACAAATACAAGCAGGAACCCAAACACATTCGCTGTTAGTTTGGGTGATGCCAACAAGCAGGTGGAGAGAAATGAAGAGATGAAAGGGTTAAAGGAGGTGAGAGAGGGATTAGAAAACCAGGCATGAGGGAGGAAATAGCAGGCACCACTCACCCAGAGCGAGGCAGAAGAGCAGGAAGGCCTCCTGGGCATGAACCCCCTCAGCCTGGTCCTTCAGCAGGGGGGGCAACAGTCTGACCTCTGCCCCCCCAGCCTCCACACTGTGGGGCTTGCTGGAGGAGGAAGGCAGAGCAGAAACAGAACTACCTCCAGATGAGGGAGTGTCGATAGGAGAGGAGGCTGTGAGGAGGGGTGGTGGGAAAGAAGAAAGATTTGAGGAAAATCTAAGCATCAGAAGTCAAGAAAGGAGGATGAGGAATTTTCTACATGAAGCAGAATAAAACTAAACAAAGGAAAACAATACAACAAACTGATGTGCCACTTAAAATAATATTCATCTAAATAAAAGGTTCTTCAGATTGTATCAGGGCTCCGTTACCAGGCTTCAGCTCCTACCAGTGTTTTAAAGGAAGATGATGGTTAGTACACAGGAAGATCAGGTGGGTCCAAATCTAAATAACGTCTCAGCAGTGGTTCTGAACATGCCAGCCACTTGCCTGGCGCTTTCCAGTTGCACCTCACAAAGCAGACGAAGCTGGGCTCCTCCCTGAGAATTCGTCACAGCGCTGAAGAATTTATCAACAACATAAAGATGCTCCAGGAGATGATTTTGTTTTATTACCCAAACTAAACAGAAGCAGGATTCCAATTTGGAAAACATCAGGGTGGCTTACCAATTTGGTAAATAATGTTTCCAATCTGGAATATAAGAATTAGCTTTTCTTGCTGGACTAAGCTGAGGGGCGTTTTATGAGGTCTAAAGCAGACAGAAGCTCCTAGCAGCACTGCTCGTCTTCATCTGCATACTTGATGGACTGGGAGTCGGTGTCCACATCAAAAGGTTTTTCCTGTGAGGGGCTGTGGGAGAGGACCTGACCGTTACCACACTCCGGTTCCGTCTCGTAGCCGGTGTCGCGGAGCGCCCGGAGGCTCTGAGCAGCTTGGCTGCCGTTCTGAGTTGGACGTTCGCTCATGTTCACTTTGTCGGCTGGAGACGCTCCCATTAGACCTGCCTCGCAGGCCTGGTACTGGGGCTGATGGGAGCACTTGTGAGTGCCCAGCAGGGCGGCTCGTAGCCTCAGGCAGGGAGCTGGGAGGTACTGCATGTAGCAGTTGTACACCAGTGCAGCCAGGAAGAGGAGGAAGAACAGGAGGAAGAGGAAGAGGAGGGCCACGCTGTTGTTGTGCTGCAGATACTCGGCCTCGGGCTCGCGGCTGTCCGGACGAGAAGCGACAGAGTCCGGGGGAAGGTTCTTCTGCAGCTGGACTCTGACTGTGCTGCTGGGCGGTGGGGTTAGTGATGGGTCAGTGTGGGGTGGGGAGGTGAGGAGGACTGATGCTGTGGGCCTGGTCCAGGTTAGTGAGTCTCTCTCTGTCTTACCATTACCTTCAACTGTACGGGTGCTGCTTTTCTCCTGGCTGCTCAGGGTGGTGGTCATGTGGGTCGTCGGAGGAGGGGGTCTGGATGGAAGATCCAGTTTCACAATGTATCCAACCAGCAGGCGGCTAAAGTTCTTCCCAGCGGCGGGGGCCCATTCTACGGACCAGCACTCATAGTGGCCCTGGTCCTCTGGAGCCACGCTGTAAATGAGGAGCCCATTCTCAGCCATGAAGTGGAAGCGCGAGGCCTCGCTGAGAACGGAGCCATTAGATTTCCACATCACGTGAGCCAGGTTCGAGTTTCCCAGGCAGTGCAGCTCAGCAGAACTTCCTGGTTTCACCAGCACATGCAGGTAGCTCTCACGGGACACAGCTGACTCTGAAAAGTACAAAAAATAAAAGTCTATCACTAAAAACAAGACAACAGGGTGATGTTTTCACTATTAAAAAAAGAGAATAAAATCATCCTCACCTGTGGGACACTTGTCTGCGTCCCCATTCAGACTCTGGATGAGTGTCCTGCAACACAAACCTTACATCAGTGGGTCTGAGCAGCACACACAGCTCGTTAGGGATGACAAACACAGCGTTCATACATGTAGTTATCCCTCAACGTCCAGTTACCTGAGCTGCCGCTTGGACGCATCTAAGATGTTGACACAGGTGAGAGAGGTGGGGTCCCAGGCGCAATAGGGGTCCCGAGCCAGGACACAGTCGCTACAGAACAAATACCTGCGGCAGAAAGCTGTGGGTGACTGGACCACTCCCGAGTCTGAACCGGCGTACAAGGACCGCGTCTGTGGAGGCAACACGTGACATTTATAAATAAATACAGGCTCCAACTCTGATTTAGTTACTTTTTATTCCCCAGATCCTGCCCATCATAAAGTCCCTAAACCCAGCACTTAGTTTTACTCTAAAAAACTGTCATGCCTGTAAAACAAGGTATAAGGCAGCAAACAGGAGCAAAACATATTAAAAAAAAATTTTTTAATGGTTTAATTATAAACTAAAAGACAACAGGAGGAAATAATATCCTGGTTTTGCTCTCTGGAGTTTTTCCAAAAACAGCCACCAAACACAATCTTCTGTAAATCTCTCACTTATTCCATCGCCTAAAGTCAAATCCGTCACTCTGGTGTGTGAAACTCCACTAACGCCATCATCTCTGTCTGAGGTAATGATTGTTAAAGAGGAGTGGACTCAACTAAAAATCATAAAATGCATCCATGAATGTTTTACTAAAGCAACAAGAAAAACGATGCAAGAAGTCTTGAAAGAGCAAAAGTCACCCTTAAGCGCTAGGATCTCTGTAGAGTTTCCTTCCATCATTTCATTACACAAGATATATTCTGCTAAATCTACCAGTTACATTATGTTTCTCTGTGATTAGTACTATTTTTGACTGAAATTAGGTTGTGCTCAAGCTGACCACTGACCTTGGAGGACAGCACTAAGTTTTTGATGGGTTCAGACTCCTTCAGCAGCTGGATCTCCTCCACACAGTGAACATCCTCCTGAAACACTACCGACTTGTGCAGGACTCCTTTGTCTAAGGAGAAACAGTGAGATGAAAGGGTGTAACTAACTCCGTGTGCTAAAGTTTGCTTGGGTCGTCATGAATGTTGTGCACCTGTTCCGGTGAAGATGATGTCATAAATGTTGCCGTCGAGCGCTTTGACCTTTTCCACAACCAGCTGGGTGTAGTTGATGTCTCTGGTGATGAGCAGGGGCCTGTTGCCGATGGGCAGGATGGGATCCTCCAGCAGGGGGTGGTCCTTCACAAACTGGAGGGTTTTGTCTGGAAGGTGGAGTGAGCTGCTGATGTTCTGCTGGCGTAACAGGTTGTTGATACACTGGAGAAGAAACCACGGTCAGACAGGAGCAGAGTCTGGAGTCACCTGAACATGTTACGGCCACTTACTGCTCCGGGACGTGGAGATGGAGTGATGCCATTGTGTCTCACCCACTTGGTGTGGGACTGCTCGACCGTGGCCTTCTGCATATACTTCCCTCTGGAGAAGACGTCCTCCACAGACGCCAAGCTGTAGGCACACACAGCTGACAGACCCACGTTACCCCTGCAGGGCCCAAACAAATCACCAATTACAAAAAGGTCCTTTTGCGTTTGCATTCTCCTGCATTTGCGTTGTGAAATCTGACCACTGAGAGGTGAAGACGCCATAGAAGACCGTGTCTCTCCTGTCTTTTCCCTTCAAGATGAAGATGTCGTGCACAACGTTGAAAACAAAGTTAAGCTCAGGCATGGAGCACACAAGCTTGGCTTTCAGAAAGGATGTCCACTTCTTCTGCAGGGTGCGCTGGCCACCGAGGTCACCCTGGAGAGAGAGCAAGAGTTTAACCCTAAAATCATCTTCAGCTGAGAAACGATGGGGCCAACGCCACTGTGGTCAAACCTTAACCACACAAGATCTCACATAAACAGAGTGTAGCAGATGAATCATATGCTTCTAGTTTAGAATGACTGGGATCCAGCTGCCTTTGTGTTATCATTAAGACTTTAGGGCCAAAGTGTACAAAGTTTATTCTAAACGTTATGCAGATTTTGATTAAAATCCATCTAGTAGTTTGTGAGATCATTTCCAGTCAGGCAAAAATATCATCACCTGCTTTTGCCTTGCAAAAGTAAATAAATACTTCCTCCTTTCAAAATGCAGAAAAGGCGACTTTCTCCTTTCCTTACGTTTTTTTTTAAATCTCAGGATAACTTTTTATGGGCTTTCAAACTGAATTTAATTTGGCTGTGATGAGGTAAAAAGGCAAATATTTATTGTTTGATGACTAAAGTTTTATTTAAGAAGCTCATCTTCAAGGGTTTGGACTGGAGCATCCATAAGAACTCCGACAAAGAACAAGCTACATATTTGAAATTAAAGTCTCCATTTAAGTTAGACGCATCCCAAAAAGCTGGTTTAGTGCAGGGATTGAAGCACAAAATTCTCATCTGACTGAAAATTATTGGGGGGGTGGGGGGGCTCACATTGTTTACTTGCAGCCACTATTCGGGTTTTGATCGGTTTTAAGGTCAGTATTCTTGTTTCTGAGAAATTTGGAATAACCTGTTCACATACAGTGTTTAAAAGTGTGGGTGTTGAGATTTCTCTGAGGTAAAAAAAATGATAAGTATTAAAGTACTCTAGGGGGGTCGGGGGCATGCCCCCCCAGAAAAAAATTATTGGACATTTTATATTTAAACGCATCAGTCTGGTGGACTTTTGGGGGGGGGGGAAGTAGAGTTACAGGCTGGTAGGTATGTATGATAAAGTATCTATACTGTCATGAGCCGGGGTGAGTACTCGTCTCATGTTCTCAACCATCTCTGAGTGCTTGGTTTCAGGAGAGGGAGCAACAGCTGTTCCTAATCAGCTGATCAGCGGGCCGGCTTATGAGGAGGAAGGTGGACATGACTCGACGCCGGATGATTACTACTGACTGGTAGTCTCTAGCCTTCGCTTGCTCTAGCTCAAGTTCTCTCGTGTGTTTTCTCTTGTGACCTTGATTAATTTGAATTTTTGGATTTACTCGTCTCAGGTTGGATTCTCATCAGTGTTCATCTCAACGCTGTTTTGGATTTTTACCCGGTTCGCCTCCTAGTTCACCATCCTCCAAGTGCCGACCCGATCTCCTCCACATCTCGCTCCCTCTCCAGAACCACACCGGTCCGGATCCATCTCCACTATTCATCTCTACTGCTCTTCATTCATTCCCTGGACTTTACCCCATAGCTCACCCCTCCCACACACTACTCTTCCCAAGCCGTAAGTCCCTCCGTCTATATTTCCCCCGTCATACTACAATGCCCATACTCACCTCTGCTACTCTCCCCTCTAGACGCTGCTTCCCGTTTCCTCACCCGTTGGATTTCCAGTGCGCCCTTAGTTCATCGTTTTAATAAAATTATTATTTTTTTCCCATACAATCCGACTCTGTCTCCTGATTCTGCATGTCCTGGGTTAGACTCTTGCCTCAGAACATGACATATACATGCTCATTTTAATGATATATTTGAGTTAACAATGTTTTCCTGTCCTTTCTTAATCCATGAGCACAGACTACAGTGAAATCCACTGATGCATCCATGCTGCTCAGTACCAGAACTGCACTAGATACCAAAAGAACCAATCAGCTGGCGGAGCTCCCTGTTGAACGTGTGAGCTGCAGAACTTGAAAAACTATGTGACTCAATTTAAGGAACAGAGTAGAATCCAGCTGCTGCTATTTATTTGTTGTTGGTGTTTATAGAAACTAAATATATCTGCAGGGCTTTAGGCCCAGGGCAGTTTTATACCTCAGACCAGCTTCAGATCATGACTTATTAATAATATCATGTTCTTTACACCAATCTGAATATTCTGTAATATTCACAGACATCCAAACCTTAGAAATGAAATATAATCAATATTAAAATAAAAATTATTAATATAATTTTTTCATTAAGATCAGTTATCTGTTACACTTATTTACATTTTATAGTAATATGATTAATAATATTTAATCTTATCTTCTATCATTTGTGGGTTTAGTGCATTCACTTAATATTAATTATAAAATTATAAATAACAGGTCACGAGTCTGGGCATAGAAAGTGTTTCTAGGAACTAACGCTTGTTCAGCAGCTCACCTGTTCCACTGACAGGAAAAATCCTCTCATCAGCAGAGTGTCATGACTGAACACCGGCCCGAAAAAAACAAAGACGACTAAAAACACGGACCTCAGATCGGCCCACCGGGAATTTGGGTCCTGGTTCCGCTCATCACGTTAACTCTCATTGTGATATCAGAGCTTTATTGGCTCTGTTAGAATCCCAGCGCCTGGTCCGTGCGCAGTTTGTGTTTGTGCGCACCGTGGGAGCGAGCAATGAGCGTGCGCGTTTTTGCAGTTTGGGCGGTGCAGAACGGTGGAGAAACGCGTTTCAACAACACCGGTGCGCGTTTCAATTAGCAATAGGAGAGAGAGAGAGCGAGCGAGCGAGAGAGACACTACTAAACCCAAGTGAACGCGAGAAGAGATTTTGACTGAACTGTTTTTACTGATTATTCCACCTGACGGATTTCCGTCGCCACGACGGAAATCTTTAATCCCTGGTTTAGTGTTACTTTGTAATAATTTTGAGTCTCTGAGATGAATGTCCTAATAAACAAGTTACCACATATTTTTAAGTTGTACCTGCAGATATTCATCTCAGATGCTGTAAAACTAACATTTACACTGAAACAACAGGCAGCTGTGGGTAAAGATGGACGCTGCTGGTAGACGCTGACCTTACACACACGAGCCACTCTGGGAATGAGCAACTTGCCAAAGAACTCGTATTCCACCGACACCTCGGTGAAGAAGTAGTAGATCTTGTCGTCCTCTCCGTCTGCTCCGTTACTTCCTTCTCTGATCACATCAGCAAAGACAAAACTGGGTTCTGCAACAAGGAGAAAGAGCTATAATGTGGCCATTTTGATTATTTCTTGCTGAAGGTGCAAAAAATTGGTTTGGATCATCAAAACTACACAAGAGAATATTTTTGTCTCTTATCCCTATCTTAATTAATGCAATTGCATTAATATAATTGTTTTAATCTTTTTTTTTAAATCAATGAAGCTTATTATTTCAATGCCAACATACACACTCTAAACTAATCCCATTTCAACATCAAATGGTAAATAGCCTGTATTTGTATAGCGCCTTCTTAGGGTTCTACAACCCCCCAAGGCTCTTCACAACATTCACACATTACACACCTGCTGATGGGGATGAGCTACATTGTAGCCACAGCTGCCCTGGGGTGCACTGACAGAGGTGAGGCTGCCGAGCACAGGCACCACCGGTCCATCCGACCACCACCAGCAGGCAAAGTGGGTTAATTGTCTTGCCCAAGGACACAAGAGCAGAATTCTCTGTCCGGAGCCAGGATCAAACCTGCAACCTTCCGACTGCTGAACAACCCGCTCTACCTCCTGAGCAACTGCTTTTTCTTGCTCAATAAAATACAATCCTCAGAGTGCCTCGGATCACCCGTTTTTCTTCCTCATCCTCATCCAATTGCTTAGAGATCATGTGTAGTTTTTACCATTAATCTCTGGAATCATCCATTGGAACGTTGTTGTAAATGAATTAAAAGATGCCCAGTTGTTGAAAAATATTGGCAGTTTCATAACATATAACCATAAAAAATACATGGGAGCAGGTCTAAGTCTCTGGGTGATGCCATATTGGATGCCATGTTTCCTTCTACGGAAGCCCGTGAGGACGGAATGCATTTACTGATTTGTAACAAATGTTAAAGAGCGAGTCACCCCCAAATCAACTTTTTTCCCCTGATAAACTAAATAAACGAGTGTCTAATCATGGTGCAGACACGTGTAGTCAATAGTTTTGCACTTTAGTGCATTTTAGTTAAAATTTTAATTTTCTGCCTAAAACTGTCAGTGTTGTGCCGTTGTCAGGTAAAAACTCTGCACTGTATTTGAATTTAAATCTGCCACCGCTATTGGCTAAGAGGTATACTATGATGTAAACTGGTACGTTATGATGTCACAATGCTGTGGTGAGTCTGTGTGTGTGCGTGTGTATTTGTTAGCGGCTCCGCCCTCTCGGTCTGCCAGGCAACAGCATTTGTTGCATTTTTTTAAACATGAAGTGAGAGTGGAGTTAGACTCTGGTAGGGGGTGACTTGCTCTTTAACAAAACTTTCAGCATTAATAAACGTTCTTTTACACATTTACCTCTTCCCTCGCTGCCAGTGATGAAAGTGAATCTGATGTTCTCGTTATTTTTGCTGGAGGTTGCACTCCCAAGTATTTTTGACCCTGATGGCCATCCGTTTGTAAGGTCTACACAAAAATAATGCTTGCTTGCAATGATTTTGGTATCTGCTGCCCCATATCACCAGGGAAAATATACATTGTCACTTTGAAAAGCCCTTTGAAATTCTTTTTAAGAACTTAGATCTCCTGCAAACATTTTTTTATTTTAACGTGTCAGAATAACACGTTTAGATAAAAAAATGTGGCAACCTTGGTAAATGGGGGGGGGGGGGGGACAAGCTAAAAAAAAGATTTAAATGAATTTTATTAATTGCAGAGAGCTGACAGTTTCGCTGCCAGCTGGTGTCAGTTTAACCACTGATTCGTTTGCTGCAGTTCAACAAGCAAAAAAGAGGAAAGATGAGTTATGTGTTGGAGACGAATCACGACACACTACAGGTGTGAGTTGTTTTTAAAAAATGAGAACAATCGGTGCACCTCGGTGTCGAAAAACAGTAAAGGAAAGGAAGTGAAGAGCTAAAACACATCTGTTCAGCCTCCAAACTCACCATTGAGCCATGATGTGGAGTACTCTGTCCTGAGCAGGGAGTGGAAAGGAGAGTATCTGGAAATAATCGGTTCGCTGCCTAAAAAGTTATACACTGTCCCAGAATACAGCTCTCCGTCTGGTGGAAAAGACAAGAATAAAGACGAGTGAGTTTTCCTCCCCATGGGAATTAAAATCTAGGGATGATCATCTACAACAGAGCAGGGCGGACCATCCAAAAATCCGTCAAATGAGTCAAAACTGGCCTGAACTCACCAACCATGATGGTGGTAAAACTTTGCAAAGGGTCAAAGGAGCACTTCCCTCTGCCATCTTCAGCCCGACCCTCCAGAGAAAAGTCGCCAAGATTCTGAAAGAGATAAGATGTCGTTCACACTGTTGACTGGCAAGTTCACACACATTCACGTTTATTTGTGCAGCGTGGCGTTAACCTACCAAGTAATCACACTGGGGCTGAAAGGCATTAGTACCACAGACATAAAGCCGCTCGTCGTCAACAACCTGGAGCACTCGGATGTAGTTCAGACAGTCCCTCTGAAATGGAGCAGGACAGGTTTAATCTAGCATAAAACTCCTCAAACATAAATCTACTCAGCATGAATCAAACCTCTTTCGATTTTCCTTTGCCTATGCACATTTTCACGTGGTCGTTTGTAACTGTCCATTGAACCTGGAAAACACCAGAAGTCCCAATCAGAATCGATGGAAGTGCTGTCCCCCCCCCTCTCATTGTTGGAAGTGTTTTTCCTACTATGCGGTTACCTTGTGGTTTTGGACCGTCACGTTCCTCTTGCTGAGCTCAAAGATGGCCTCCCTCGCGCCCACATACAGGGCATCTCTCTCCTCGCTCAGCAGTAGAGTCGAGTAGTTGAAAATACCAGGCTCGGAAAACTCCAGAAGATCCACATCTGACCAGAACATCGTTTAAGTAAATTTTACTTGTGAACGGAAACGGCAGGTTTTCAGATTTTAGGATGAGCTGCTTGTTGATACATTTGTGGTTTAAATACAGACACAAACACACAACAGTAGTTTCTGAATTTGGACAGCCTTCATCACATCAGTCATGTAATCGGTGCCAAGATGCAGCCTCTGAATTTCGGACATAACGAATTTCTTCAAAACTCAGAGTTATGTCATTCTTGCGGCGATGAGTTGTTGCAGCCATCTTGAATTAGGGTGGACCAGTTGTAGATGTACATGAAAAAATCTAAATATGTTGTAGACCAGACACGGTCCGTGTCCGGGAAAGTAAGTATATGTTCAATACTCTCCTCATAACGAGTAAAAAAGCCCTCACAAGACGAGGGTTAACAACACAAAGCCTTACAGCAATACCTCGATAGAATGAGTCGATAAAAACTTCAAGAACAGATGAACAGCCAATCATATTAAGTGTTGCGTCACACTCTGCCAATGAGCGGCTGGAATAGAGCCACGTGGCAGCCAGACAGACATGCTAAGGGCTAATGTGTGTGTAGCTGTAGCCTCTTAGTGCAGGGAACACGTAGCACGTCATTGGGAAAAACAAGATCCTCAAAAGGGACAGAAAATGATGGAGGACCCAGCAAATAACATTGCTGACTAGAAGGTTCCAAACGGTTTAGTCATGTGGATGTATTCTGGCTGGTTAATGTAGAACAAAAGCAAAGTAGCTACGCCACTAATGATGTTGATCTGTTTGGGCTCCTGAACCAGGACCACCCACTGGAGCAGCAGAACCTAATAATCCCAGAATAGAGCAAGTGCCAAGTTAAAATTATCTTCTGATATCTTCAAATTTCACTTCAAAGGGAACATTAAATGCTCACAAATGTAGTGATTTGTTTTATATCGTGATATATATCGTTAGACTGATAAGAAAAACATTGTGATCCTTTCTCCTAGCCTGGCCTGCACGACTCCTCCTCTGTTTAATTCTGCACAGAGAACTAGTCTGGTTACTCACAGGCAGAGGGGCACGTGAGGGGCGGGACTAGCCAGCTCAAAAATAACCAAATGCCGACTGTACCGTGCGACGCTGTAGTTTTTTTAGCTGTAGTCAAAAATAAAAATGGTGTCTGGCGACAGCGCAAACATCTTTCTTTAGAAGAAAGGCTTTTAGCTTCTACTTGTGGTTTTAAAGACATTCAAGTCATTTAGAACAAAGGAAAGAGCCGCAGCGAACTCCTCTTCAGTCGCCATGTTTATGACAAACTCTGCGTTATGGTGTGTGGCGTACGCTACTCAGCGCAGATTGGCTCGGTTGGAATTCTCAGGGGGTGGGGTTATTTGAATAGGAGCGTTCCCAGACCCTTTCTCTGTGCAGAATTAAACAGAGGAGGAGTCTGGCAGGCCAGGCTACCTTTCTCCACACCACCCAGCCCTAGTATTTATTTTTATTTGAGATGTCACACTTTTACAGGAGCACATTTCTATTTCTGAAGACCACCACACACTCACTGTGTGTGTTTGGGTAATACTGGTTGGTTCAGGTTGCAGATGCAGGCCATAAACACTCCAGTGACAAAAGCAAAACACCCTCAGCGAATGACTGTTCTACAGGAACCGCATCACAGGGTGAGCTGCTTCTCTCTCTCTCTCTCCCTCCCTCTCTCTCACACACTCTCACACACACACACACACACACACACACACACACACACACACACACACACCACTCGAGCCATTCCTAAACCTTTCCACCTCACACAGCACCGGTCTAACTCGATAGCCTGAGGTGAGACCAGAGGGTAGTTTCAGATGATATCAGGCAACAAGTGAAACCAAAGATGCTATTATTAACACGATACGCCAAGTTAGAAGCGATTTGATATCTAAAGAGCGTGTGAAAGTTCCGTTTCACCCGACTTAAGTGACTCATGCTTCTCTTTTTGAGATTTCACAAACTCACCGTGACCAGCTCTACCTCTGAGACCAGTGAATGGTTCTAAAACAGCACCGGACATTTAGAAGAGCACTGACCAAGAATAAGGATTTGATAGTTCGACACATTTGTAAATCCACTCAACTTTTCTTCAGGTTTCACTTCAACATGAATTTGTCACTTTTTAAGCCAGAACACCAGGTGTATGTGTGAATTAGGCCTTACCTTGGTGCTTCCAGGAAGTCCGAGGAATAGTGTGGGGTCCGTGGGTAGAGACCTCCAGGAGCAGCCCCAGAAACACTCCCAGCACACTGAATCCCATATTAGCCTCTGCTAGCTTTGGAAGAGTGAAGTTACCTCTGAGAGAGAGCACAGAGACAAAAACTAAAGCAGCACACTGTCAGAGTTTCTCTTCAGAGTTGATCTTGTGCTGATTTTATCACGCAGCACAGACAAAAGGGCTCCAACAGCCGTCAAATCAGGTTCCCTCTTTAAGAGGTGTTAAATTCATCTTCCCTTTTCTTTTGCAACACACCAAAGGCTTCAGGATCCAATCTGCAAAAACCCTAAACAATTAAAGCATGTTGAAATCCATGTTTAAGACATTTATTTCTGCAACATTTGACTAAAAAGTTAGATTTCAGATGAATGGTCGTTTGCTGCTTTAGAAAATTTCACAAATATTTCACATGTTGGGCCTTTTTACAAGCATAAAAACACATTTATGATGCGCTTGTGGCTCAGGAAACCTGTGGAGTAGATTTACAGATCAAATTCACTTCCTTTTTCAACACGTTTGCAGAGAGACAAGCTGGGCGAGTCCATGAACGCTAATTTTCGATGTGACGAAGATCCGACGGGCTCTTCTAATCCAAGCATTTGCCCATCTATTTTCTACCAGAAGCTAAATAGGGAAATAGGGATAGAAGACTATTTTCACATTTAGTCTGCACGTTAAAGCCAGGCTGAGCAACTACATTTCAAAACTAACAAGTAAAAAATGGTTTGTCAGTGAACTTGGTCTTTAAGGGAATTTTTAAATATACAAAGATTCGAGATCGAATTGTCGAACTTTTAAGCTTTTGACAAAATAATCGTGGCAAATATTTGTCATCCAAAATACACTTGGTTGAATGACACAAATATATTTAAAAGGTCATTTTTAAGATTCCCTAAAAACTAAAATATCAAGACCCAGTCTAGTGTTTTGTGGCCCACGATGAAGCTGCGACACCAACGAAACACCATAACTGAGAAAAACATACCATCATCAGACAGGTTAAAAACGTCATGCCAACTCGAGTCGAAAAGACATAAGAGAAAAAAACTAAACCGAGTCTGAACTGTGCACCTCTCATTCATTCATCCCAGATCAAAGCCTTTTCCTGTAAAACGTTGCTTTTTGGGTCGACTTCATAAACACTCTGGACAACAGATGAAAGTGGAGCTTCGCTTTAATCAGGAGCCAGCGGACAGCGACGAGACCGAGGAAATTATCCACCACACAAAGATGCCCAGGCCTAAAAACCACACACACACACACGTGCCAGCTCTCTTGTACATATTTTATCATCTGTTTAGTCACATGGAGTCTATAATTACGACTCTATTAAAACATTTTAAACGACTGCTTGTAACTAAAGCCTTCTCATGGCTTAACAATGACATTCCACCTGTTGCTCAGGTGTAACTTAGATGTAAAACAAATCCATTCGCCTCAGGTGATGACGACAATGATGGAAGTGATGACAGAGCTGCGGGTATACGTCAGCTCTTATCAGATGTTTCTGTTTGTCCCACCAACGGTTCCGGATGAGTCTAACCTTCAGCAGGCAGCTTCCTGTCACTTTATATCATCCAGGTTCTCCCACCAACTGTCAAATTCACAGAAAAATAATCACTTCTTCTGAATTTAGCTGCAACACTAAATGGACCTTTATTTTCTCCCTAAGAAATGGTTATGCCTCCTTTAAAACAAACCACGTCTCTTGTTGCTGGTTTTAGGTCAGCAGGAAAGCTGAGGTAAAAAGCTCAAGCTTTAAAGCTTAAATAAAATAATACAACAAATCTCTAAATCTGCTCAATCCTGCTGCTGAAACAAGGAGCCAAATTCACGAGAGCGAACAAAACCTACGTAAAGGTCAGTTTTCACGAGGATCAGCCCAGTTCATTGTGACACCATCAGTGTTAACTGAATGGTTTCACTCAGAGGTGATTATCATTCAGCTGTACAGCGTATGCACTTCCCTTCCTTGATCCTGATGTAAAAGCTGCTATGCAAAAACATCTGCTTTGTACTTCCTTTAAACATGAAGAGTGTTGCCTTTAAAACAATAAAAACATGAAAGCCTCATTGTTGTGATAAGCAGAAGTCGGGTGGAGCCGGCATACCGAGGGACGTTTGTTTGCACTTCTACACAGAGTAAGTTAAACAAAAACACGACAGGTTTTTCTGGTTTTTAACCACATCGCAGTCCGAAGAAGCCAATACCCACACTCCACATGCCGGGCGTTTCTATCATGCAAGAAAGGTGATTAAAGGTTACCAGATGTCCTGAGGATGAACAAAGAAGCATAAAAAGCCTACTGAACCAAAACGAGTAAGGTCTTATTAAGTCTTCTGCTCTTTTTTTTGGGGGGGGGGGGGGGGGGGGGGGTCAATTTTTTCAATTCTTTATTCAGGACAATGCACATTAATAATCAAATACATTGTATCGATCGTAAATGGGCCAGATTATAGCATAGTTGCTAATTTGCATCTGTAGTCCGTCAACAAGACAACCAAGTAAAACAAGTAACACTATACAATTAAAAACAGTCAGAACATTCCATTAAAATAGACAAACAAAAAAGAAGAATAACTAAAGATGCAAACATGTCTGGGAACCTTTAAGATGTAGTTTGAGGTGCTTTTTAAAGGTGCTATAAGTGAGAAACTCTCTGATATTCGCTGGGATGTTGACAGTACCATTTGTCCGAACGTCGTTTTCCTGTAGGGTGGGGGTCTGCAACCCGCGACTCTTCCAGCCATCTGATGCGGCTCTCTGTGCTTGTAAAATAATGAATGGATATTTAAATAAAATGCTTTATATTTTACTGCATTCATTTTACATCTGTATGCCAATTCTAAATGTAAATATTGTCTGCGTAAACCTGAACAGTTCCAACCCGGTCTTACTGTGAGACCGGGTTGACGGGTCACGCTTGTGCGTAATCATGTGCGCTTTCTGAGCTGAAGACGATGTGAGATTCTGGGATTCTCCTCAGACGGCTCCTGGATGTGTCGCCACAATGGAGACAGGAACAAGCACTATTCAGCCAAAGTTTCATAGTCAGGGAACATTTTCTAAGTGACAAGTCTCTTTAGTCGGAGGAATCTTCCCGCATGCGCTCTGGTTCTGTGACGTGCTCCAAGCCCCTCTTCACATCTTCAGCTCGCTGTGCACCGTACGTACGCGCTGACAGCGAGCTGCGCTGAGCAGTGTCCAGCTCAGATGTTCAGATGGGAATCTTTTCTTGAGTGATTTAGCTACATCTGCGATGTGCGAAACGGATAAAATGTCAGTTCGTCTGCATGCGTCGGGGTAATTCTTTCTATTCTTTCTCCGTCAAAATAAATGGTCAAATACGGGAACTATCTGGTCAACACAAGTCCTGCTTTTACCTGTTCTGTTTTCTTGTGAAAATTGTTGCAAAGAGATATAATTTAACTTGATCACCAGAGCCAGGCGCGCTGTGCCGTTATCTCCGTCACTGTAAATGAGGGAAAAACAAAATGATCGGATCCTTTTCTGACCTTCCCCACCTACAAAGTTTAATTACAACAATCAAACGTGACAGAGCCTGGATTTGTATTCTGAACAGTCTAAACATGTTTTAAAAAGAAACGTATGACAAAAGTGGCACCTGCTCAGTAAAACCACCAACAGGGTGAAAAATATCAAAATATTGTAGGCAGAGACGGGCTACAACTTCTGGATCCATTTTATATAAATCGTTTTGATTATCGTCTTATGAAAGATAACTTTGACGTACACGAGCGACCGATACTGGCTGCTGTCACCTGTTGTGATTGGTTAAAGCAGCTCTCTGCTGTCTGAGGGTAGGCCCCGCCCACAACGCCGCGGCTGCTGTGGCTCCCAGTGTTTTCTTTACTGTGGGAAACGGGTAATAATGGCTCTTTGATGGGAACAGGTTGCCGACCCCTGCTGTAGGGGATCTGAAGGTCTCCTCTAGTGGAGGCTCTAGTACTGGTCTTAATTTTATGTATGCGGAAAGTGGAGGTGGAGCTAGTCCATTAAGTGCTCTGTAGATTAAACAACTATTTTTGAACTTAATAAACATTTTAAAATTAAGCATGTTGTACTTTGCCAGAATATTACAATGGTGATATGACAAAGGCTTTTGATCCAAGATTTTCATAGACTTTTTGAATAATATTTCTATTGGTTTTAAAAGAGTGTCCCCAGTGAATGACCAGGTTGTGATGCAGTAGTCTATATGAGAAAAAATCATGGTGTGCAAAAGCATTGTAGCTGAAATTGTAGTCATTGAAGATCTAATTTGTTTAAAGTTATTTATATTGAATTTAATTGTGTTCACTGTATGTTTAATATGTTTTTTTACAGGATAGTGTCGGATCCAGGGTGATTCCAAAGTACTTGAACTCTTGCACCAGGTCCAGCTCTACCTCCCCCAAGAACACATTGGACCGCTCCAGATTCATGGATTTTTTTGCGAATATCATTGCAACTGTTTATTTTATTTTATTCAGTAACAGGCATGATTGATGGAGCCAAAGCTGTATGTTCTCCAAGGCTAATGTGAGAATAGATGATGCTTCCTGTGTACTTTTAGCAGGTGTAAAAATAACCGCATCATGGGCTCGACACACGGGAGGCGACATCGCCTCTCCTCCATTCATTTTCAATGAGACATGCGCGACAAAGCGATAATCGCGGGTCTCTCTCCTACTAAGCAAAACGCAAAAAACGTGCGTGTGAAATTTTGCACTCGTGCACGTGTCGTGCACGGACGACCGAGCGATGCAATCCCAGAAAGTTGAAACATTTTCAACTTTTCATCGCTGTCGCTCGGACGAGGACCAATCAACGGAGGTTTCATTCACTGACCAATGAGCGGACATTATGCTCCGCACATCTCCGAGCAAACATGAAGGAGAAGTTGATTATTATTATGTTTTATATAGTAAAATAAGAAGTAAGATTTCACATAACTCTAGCAGCACCTTGTGAAACATCATATCTACCACTTTATTAACTCCGAACCGCTTAAACAACCTTAATTCCCTCCAACGTGACATAGCCAAACAAAACAACGGAAGTTTCGATTTCACCAT